ATCACTATATTAGTTATATAGTTTAGTTATATTTTATATTAGTTATATTTACAATGATTACACGTATTATATTGTTTTGCTTTTAAAATTAAAGCTACATTGTATTATGTAACAGGAAATACTGGATTTTGTTGCGTACGTTGCTAAAAATATGCAAGAGTGGCGCGCTTGTTACGTGCTTGAATGTACAGGTGGTTTAGCGCAGGATGTTATATCGACTATTGGACAAGCGTTCGAGCTCAGGTTTAAAGAGTTTCTTACAAAACCAAGTTCTCTGCAGTAAGTTGTAGAAATCGATTTATAGATCTAGAGTTATAACGGTCTCTGTTATTTATAATCATGCGTATTTACTTGTTAGCCCCGTGCTAAACGGTGTCAGAGAGGTGGACAGGGATTATTACAATGATCTGCCAGGGAAAGTACCGCCAGATATTGGCCCACCGCCAGTACCTCCTTTGCCTAATACAGCATCTACACTGCCTAATCTGAAGCATCATCAAAATCATGCGCGCACTCATGCACAAAGTATTGCAGTTGATTCATTCTCATCTGCTGCAGACAGACATCAGCAGTTGGCAGGTTAATATCTTTTATAAAATATTTGTTTGAATAAAATAGAAGGTTTAATAATTTAAGTTCTATAATATACATTATAAATTTCTTCTTTTACATTTATTCCTATTTTTTATCATTTTTTTCCACAGAAACTGGGAATCTAATTGATTTAAATTCAGATAGCACTCCATCAACGAATTTAAATATAATGTCTGAGCACAATTACGTAAACGACAGTGTCATAGCTGCAAGCAGAGACAATCATCGTGATCCAGCATCACTTTTTGACGTTTTTGATATGCGTAAGAGAATTACTGTTTTATTCTCATTCTTAGTCAAGATTCAAAAATTTTTAATAATACAAATCATAAAAGTCTTTTAAAATAATATCGGCCTGTTTTGATCGCTATAATTTATCATATATTTACGTTACAATCGCAAGTATATTTTTATATGAAGAAATTTATTCTAATGTCAAAAGTTTGTAACAATTTTGATTTTTACTCGTTTACTATACTTATGTCGACCTTTATTTATAAATTACAGAGCCGTTTAGTTCTGCAATATCCGATATGAACAGACTAAGTCCCCGATCACAGAAACAGCAGTTAAACCAAGAAATTTGGTTTCACGGAAGTGTTAGCCGATCTGAAGCGGAATCCATGCTTACTAGAGTAAATATATTTTTATCATAGAGAGAGATAGTTTTATCATAAAGAATATAAAGATCATAGAGTATAATGATCTCTTATTGTCTGATATGAATTTATATTTGCTTTTTATTTCACATTGTAAGGATGGCGATTTTTTGGTTCGAGAGTCACAAGGTTCTCCCGGCCAGTACGTTCTGACTGGAATGAATAATAATACCCCAAAACATTTGTTGCTAATTGATCCTGAAGGCGTCGTAAGTATAAAACGAAATTTATGTAACAAACTTACTAACCCAAAAGTTAGCTTGCAATCGATAATTACTAAAATATTCTTATCGATTGTATATAAATCTACACTTAGATATTTTTCTAGACCTGAATTTCGATAAGCGATGGTCATACAAGGTAGTACAAATTTTAATTTACAGGTTCGCACAAAAGATCGTGTATTTGATAGCGTAAGTCATTTAGTGAATCATCACTGTGACAACGTATTGCCTATCATATCGGCTGACAGTGTTCTAGTACTGCGTTACCCCATACCCAGGCATACAAATTATTGATTTTGAACGTTGAACGATGACTAAAGGGCACAGACTTGGCAAAGATTTTCCGAATAGTTATTTTACGTATCTTTGCACGTGAGAATCTTTGGCAAGTTTTGGCTTTTTGTGATATTTTTAAAATCAAGTCATTTCATACGAAAGATATATAACGGTTTGTACCTTTTTATTGTATATGAATAGATGATTTATGAATATTTTTCTCTGTGAATCTCCTTACGAAATGTGCCAACCTAGCCAAAGTAATATAATTTCTATAATTTATCAGAGTTAAGCACATTCCGATTTTTTAATATAAAATACATCATCTAATTTGTGACTTTGGATTTACGTAAGATTTACATGTGTAGAGAAATTTTATATATAACTATATTTTAGATATAGAATATGCTTTTTATATCGGATACATTGTTGCAACCCCATCTTTCATGCAAAAATAACTATAATAAATATAATTTCATGCAGTATGTTGTCATTTTATTTCACTAATTAATTAATCCTTAACGTTAAAGAAGTGGAGGCTGAATTCACTAATTTTTTATTCTTTTTTCTCGTGTATTTTTACTTTAGCATATTTAACATTTATAATTCATTGTAGTATTTGTAGTTGATAATCGCTTTTGGTGTTATAAGACTTATAAAATGTTTAAATACTAAAAAATTGTTTATTAAACAATTTGCATTGTCTAATAAACCTATTGAGTTTTTTTGTTCTGTACTCTTCGGCTACATGTATATATGTGTATGTATAATACTAATTAATATTTTTTAAATATGCAAAAACATGCAATCAATATTTTGTTCTAAGAGTACATATTTTTATCAATTTTATTTAAATATTTAATAAAACGTTTTTATTCTTGAACTTTTTTTATGGTAATAAATAATGAGTCAAAAACAAAATGCGTTTCACAATTTATTTACAGTAGAAACTTCACAATAAATATTGATTTTATTTACAATAACGATCAGCTTTCATCTTACTTCTCCTATCTAATAGAGTTTCATGCAGATTTCCTTCTGTTTTTGCCTTCTCCAGCTCAGAACGATCGGACTTATTTATCCTTAACTTTTTATCTTGAAACTTTTGAAACTTTCGCCTGGGAAATTAAATATTGTTAATATCAGAAATATACTTTTAAACATCTGGTTTAAAGTAGGATAAAAGAGATAGCGGAAAAATTAACGCAAAATGTAAAAGTTCTAATATAAGATTTGAACAATCTTCTGTTCAATAATTATATGATTATATGATTATTTACAAAATTCCACATCATACTCACACATAATTTACTTCCACCTCCGTGATTGAGCCTTGTTCCTCTTTCGGAATATCCCTACTAGGACTCTGAGAACGTTGTATTATACTTCTTATAACAACAAACTCTGACGATCCAGCTGTCCTACTCTGGCAAACTATATCATCGTCATTTGTAACCGACATGAAGCATCCAGTATTATTTAATATCGCAAGCTTGCCATCCTGGAAAACAATGCGATTTCACAATTAATATATATTTAAAAAACAATGCAATGTGCAAAAATTTTTCTATTTAATAATGAGAAATTTATTTAGCTATGGAATTACTACGTCTATATTTTACTTTTTGTTGATATTACATAAATTAATAAGTAATAAGATATTACAGATAATAAAAATCTACGATCTTCAGTTTGAAAAATTTTCTAATTAATTTCTCTGATTAACAGACAACATAAAGGCAAAGATAAATACTTCAGTGTTTGAAAAAAATCAGTTAAAAAAGACATACAAAATAATTTTTAACCAAACTATTAATATCTATTTTAATATTCATATGGAAATTACTTGAAAAATTGGCTCCCACTGTTCGATAGAACCGACTGCGTCACTTCGTCCAATAACAACGCCATTTTTATCAACTCCAAGATATTTGCCGTATCCAGATTTCAAGGCAACCTTAGTCTCGCTCACGGGAAACGCTGTTAATATTTCTTCCGGCGATGGACTCTCTCCTTCGGCGTGCGGTGCCCCAAGAGTAAACAATCCATTATCCAGTGCCTTCATGTAAGTTTGATTTCCAAATTCGACCGCTACTGTCCCGGTGACTTCAGCCACATTCTTAACCTTCCACCACCCGCCTGTAAAACAAAACGTCATCTGTATAAATTACAAACGTTTTACACAAAATTAAAAAATTTGTAAAATGTAAATTTTAAATCTTGCATCTTAAATTTTGATAAGAGTACTCATTTGATCTTTTTTTGTGTAAAAATACAGGATTGAAAGAGAGACAAGAATTGCTACTCTAACAATAAGATCAGTAATTAAGTGCTACAAATGATTTACAGATTACGAAATCTGCGATACAAAATAAAGGGGAGTAAGCATGCGCTATAACAAATAGCAAGCAAAATATAAAATCTAATATATAATTGTGACATAAATTGCTATGTACACAAAGTAGGGAACTGTGTTTCGTAACTATGATTATAGATTTTCCAAATATGCCATCATTACAATAGATCTCCTTTGATATGACGTCTTTAGCATTTTGATTATTAAATTTGTGAAGAGGATAGACAAAGTGACATAATAGACGAAGAAACTCTAATTAACTCAGTATTATTTGGTTGGTTTTGGACTTTGGAAGTAAAATACAAGTACACTTGTGCCATATAATCCCGACACGGCGTTGAAGGCACCTTAATTTTCAAAAAAGAAAAATCTTTAGCACTTGATCACTGTTTTTAGAGCACTGAACGGCGATTATTGTTTTTTAAATCTTTATTTTTACGCAAAATAGAAAATTGAATACTTTTATCAAAATTATAAAGTGAAGAATCTAAGCTTGACAACTTAACCAAAAAATTAATAAATACCATGAGTAAGGGTATCTTTATCCTCCACAGTGGTTTCCTGCTCTTTTTCTTGTTTCTTAGATTTTCGTTTCTTCGGTCTGGAAAGGAACGATGAATGAAATATCGAAAAAAAGGAATGCGATTAAAATAAATTCCAAACGACAATGAGAGAATGGAGGTTATACCTTGATTTTTCGCCTTTCAATACTAATTTTCCCGTCCGCACTTTATCATACTCCGACATTTTAATGCTCCTCAAACTTTCACTGTAATATCGTACAAAGAAATAAATCCGACTTGTGGATCTCACACAAAATACAGAAATATTTTCTTTTATCAGGTGCCGTCAACCATGGTAGAAATACAAGGGTATGCTCATACCGTGTCAGACCACTGCGCATTCCCACCACTTTTGTTTAAGCTTACGTCATATTCGTGTAGCATCGGAATGAATCGGATGTACTCGGTGATTCGCAATGGCTGCGTTCGCTCGGTTCGCTGTTTATGTCGAGTAATTCGTTTGTGATTATTACAGTGTACGCAATGACGTGTAATGTGAAAGGGTGTGGGAACTATCTGGCAAAGACCAGAAAGATCGAAGGAAATAAAATAAAATATTTTTCCTTCCCAAAGGATCCAGCACTGTGTAATAAGTGGCGTCAAGCATGCGGAAAAGAAAATATTTCACCAAAATATGGTATGTACTTTTGTATAGTAATAGTTGCTTTCCATTTACACTCAAGTGATCTGAGTCACTCAGATATGTGAGTATTTTTATACTCAGGTAAGATATGTCATTTTGTATTTACCTGCTTATTTTGGTGACAAAGCTATCGCATAATAATAATACCGGTCCATAGCCTCACTTTTAATGTGAGTTTATTAGATTCATTAAAGCACATGGTCTCTGTTGAGGACGATTAGTTTTCGCGCTTCTCGAACTTTCGCGATCGGAATGCTGACACGAGGTCGGCACGAGGCGGGCCGGGATAGACCAAACCACCCCTCTCTTATCACCTGTGCTCCTGCTCCGAATTCTGTCGCAGATATCAGCTACCGGCGTGCGAGTGTGTATCGTCTTCAGAATAAATGCGACTTTCATACATAACGGTCTGATTTCTCTGTGCTACCCTATCTCTCGCAACCGTGCGTTCCCAGATTATCGCAACAGTCTCGATTGTGGATAAAAACTCAGCTGAATCTCACTTGCCATCATGCAAAAGGAACGTGCATTTAACTGAGTTATGACGTCACAAGTGAGAATTATCTGAGTTTTGATGTAAATGGAAAGCAACTAATATTGTACCACAGATTTCTCTTGTTTATTATTATAAGCATATATTTAAGAATCTTAAACCTTGTTTGCTTCAGCTAGGATATGTTCGAAGCATTTTGCTGATGAAGCTTTTACGAAGCCCTTACAAGAACATCTACTAGGTTATTCACCTACACGAACTAGGAAGATACATCCTGATGCTATCCCGACGTTGCATCTCCATGCAGTACCTCCACTAACATCAAACGAAAATGTGTTAGCTGAAACAATGCCTTTGCCTGTATCAAATGAAGTTTCGATTAAATATTTGCATTTATTGTTATTTGATCTTTTATCTGCATCTTTCCTCTGCATATATAGTTCTTTATGTCGTACGCCACAATATATTTTTGTTTTGCGTCTCAGCTGACAATTCTTTTCCAATCGTTTTCCGACCAGTTTTGATTAAAACTAATAATTCGCAGAATTTTAATAATAAATGACTGGAAATTAAAATCTCGTTTTATGTGAAATTTTTCCGTACGTCGCAATGATTTTTATTCAATGCACACAATTCTTTTTTTCTTAATAATAATAATATTTTCTGTAATATATATTTAGACAAATCCACATAAAATAATTATAAAATTCGTCAAATAACAATAACGTTTCTAACATCTACAACGAGAGACAAATTCGGGAAACGATGAGCGTTTATCCGTATGTCACGTGCGTTTTTTTATATTTATATATTTTTGTTCATATATATTTATTTATTTATAAAACAGAATTTTCTCTCACATAAATGATCAACATTATTTTGTATTCACATATTGTCCGCTCAAAATGCTTTTATAAATGACTATTATAGATTCGCTGCTTAAATGTGCCGCTCAGTGTGACGTAAGCTTGAACAAGTCGCTGATTGGCTGGGTTCGGAAATATGCGCAAGAGCATACCCTTGTATTTCTACCATGCCGTCAACTGCCGAAAGTGCCGAATACTTTTTTAGTTATTTTCCAGTTGCAGAAATGGCGCAAACCGCAAACCATGGTGTAAGTAGACAGGTGAAGCATTCCCGACGCTGCGCACTCGTTCAGTTTCTGACAGCGCTTTTCATTGGCCGCATTCAGGAAACACAACTGTTGAGTGAGCGGTTAGTGATTCTTTAATATGATTGGTTCTTACCTTTGGTTCTAATCCGGATCTAAGTGTAAGAACCAATCATAATGAGCGCTCACTCAACAGTTGTGTTTCCTGAACGCGGCCATTGGTCGCGTTCAGCAGACCAAAGCCGCTCAGTAGCAGTCGAACGTGATTGGCTCTTACTTTTAGAACCAACTAATCAACGCAGAGTGTTGATAAGACGAACTCAACAGTTGTGTCTGCTAAACGCGCCAAAAATTTTTACACTTTAAACACGTGTGACACGTGACACGCATTTTTTCGCGTATGCGCATTAGAAGCGAATAAGTGCCCGGTGCCGCGAACTTGCCGGGTTTGAAGAAGACTCGAGGATGATGCCGACAACCGAACATGAAGTTCGCAAAAGAATGATTCTGCGTCCTGAGGAACTTAAATTATTGCCGCTTTCCTGAACGAAAATTGTTACAAGAGAGTGTTTTATGCACTCAGTATCTGTTTCTAAAAATTATTTAAAAATTAATGTGCCATAACTAATAAATAAGTTCTAGCTTATTCCATTTTAACAGCCTTTTTTGAACAATCTATTCAGATTCATATTAAAGTATAGTTGTTTGTTTAATAGGTTTTTATTTTAGTTAATATTGATGTTAATTTTATTCATCTTTAATCTCTCTAATTTGGCGCAGTATCACTGCGTTGCTAGAAAAATATATTAATATTTTTAATTATTCGATTTACATTGGAATTAGCCAATTTCTCGACAAATGACGTAATAATATTAAATCATAGGCCGGTATTCATAGTCTTCGAGATTGTCTTAAGTAATGTCTTAAGACGCTAATACGGCTCTGTGATTGGTTCATGACATCTTAAGATTGAACTTAAGACGGTCTTAAATAACTATGAATACCGGCCTTAGTTTTTACTTTTCGAAGAAATCTAATCTATTGGATATCCGGGTATCTAGGACCTCTATTTCCCTTTATACATATAATCCCGCTCAAAATGACTGGAAATAAAAATTCAATTTTTTTTAACGTTACATCTAATAGTGAATTTGATATTATTTCACTTAGGAACTCTTCGACTATTTGACTTTTAAATTTGAATTTACTCCGATATCGATAGACGAATATCGCTGCTCCAATTTCAACATTCAACCTGATGGATTCTCATCCCATGGTTATCCTTTTCCATGTGACGTCAGAATATCCCCTCCAGTCATGAGAAAATCAATATAGCAGGAGTTTATAGCTACTTCTAGGCGGGTCCTGGATATTCCGGGCAACTTCGATTGGAGCATTAACGCTACCGACGAGATGCGAGTCAGACGCGCGTTACACATCTGTCACACTAACAGGTAATTTTGTTAAATTATACTATGTACTTAATACTTAATGCAATGAAGCAAATATATATAAACTTTTATTTAAAGAAAACAAGAAAGAAACAAAGAATAAATAAAACAAAATAAATGTGAAAAATTTACTTACAGATGACATTACATATCATGACACATCACATTTTTATATTACATTGACATATTACATCATTGACGTATTATTACATATAATATTAATACATTACATATTCTGGATGAATTTCTTATATTTATTTCGTTTTTTCTGCTTCCTTTTTCTCCTTAAATGCAATCATATGTTAGTTTCATTGTAAACATAATAGAAGCATTTATAAAAATGATTGTGTAACGGAAATAAAATTAAAATAACTATTAAACTGTTACAATTAGACCGTCCACTTTATTTCAAAATTTTAGATTATAGCTAATTATAGATCAAAGACGACAGTCTGCACTAATAGATGACCCTGTTCGTGAATTCAAAATTAATTTAAATAAAATATAGTCTTAATTACAGCAAATTCAGCAGACATGCGTTGATTCTTTTCCAGGATTATGAAAATTATTACACATGATGATATATTAAGCGCAAAAACACAACATCTAATTTCTTTTATTCGTAAAATATTTAATATTCATTTCACTAAGAATGAGATAATGTTAATATTAAATTTTTCATCGATTAAGACGTTTACATTATGTTTTTATCACAAATATAAACATATTAAAGCGAGTTATTAATTTCAAAATAAAGAATAAATCCAATCGTATTAATTTTGTTTTAAATGTCCAGGCACCCAATATCACTTTTTGCATAAATATCCATTTGCTCATATCACTTTATTTTTTTGCAGATTATCGATCGGTGCGAGTGAAGGGTTGATGACATAAAAATGACGTAAGAAGCTCAATGAACACGTAAGGAAACTTGGGAAAAACTTTTATGATTGAGTAAAAAAACCAAATAAGGTAAGAATAAATAAAGCTCACTACTTTTGCAGATTTAATCGAAAAAAATTAGTGTTCTAAAATAAAATCTTGAAGAAAAATTTGTCTTTAAGATTGTCTTAAGTTTGATCCTGAAATACAGTTTTAATAAGATTCCATTATCTATTTTTAAAGATAAGATAAATTTATCTTTAATTTGATTGTAAGTAATTTTAAGATTCCATCGAGCCAATAAAAAATCTATATAACATCGTGAGATTGTACTTAAGACGATCTTTAAAACATTTTACTATGAATAAGAAATAAACTGAGCGTGAAGCGCGTGAAAAGCGACGTCTGAATAATACAAAAAAAGAGAGAAAGCGGTTACACCATTTTTTTAATAACCAACGGGGGTAGCTCCCATTGTTATAATGAGACACAAAGGGAGTTGAGAAAAGAGCCGCTATAAAATAACCGAACAGCTGATATCGGTACTATACTTCGCACAGCGAGCATATGATGCACCTGTTACTCGTAAACATCAGTACGTATGAGTGAGAAAAGTAAAAGTCTTTTCAAAATTTTCTGTTTACTTCTTTCATTAAAACATTATTGACATTCGACATGCATTATAATTGATTCACTGAGTCTATTTATATTATTATAATATATATTAGTTGATAATATGTACCGGTTCTCGCACCGACATACATAGGTCAGCATGACGGGTTGCCCATTCGTGCAGGCGCGCATGGTCGTTCACAGCTGCGTAGGCTTCGGCATATTATAATCATCAGATAATCACTCACATATAATGGCCTGTTTACATCGATCACTTGATATACGCGTATTAAATAGTAAATAACTAGTAAATTAGTTTGATTATTGGCTGATTAGTTCAAATATACTATTTGATACGCGTATCAAAAGATCGGTGTAAACTAGACCAATGCGTCAAAGTGAATGTAGCTGTGAATAACCGTGCGCGCCTGCACGAATGGGCAACCCGTCATACTGACCTGTATATGTCCCTGCAACACCCGTACATTTAATAGACGTGTAGATTTAATGGACAAGTGTAATATTATTATTAAATTATTCACTCTAAATCAGCTAATTTAATTTATTAAATCAATTATTAAATCACAACCAACTATAGTTAGGTGAGACACAAAGGGAGTTGAGAAAAGAGTCGCTATAAGATAAATTTTTTGTGTGTTATACTATAGACTATAATTTGTATCTTTTTCTTATACATAATATGCATACATATCATTTTTTAAATTCTTTTATATTACACACATACACGCATTTTATCTTTTTCTTGTTTATACCCCACCGAAGAGTTTCCACCTTGAAGGGGTGGTGGGGCTTAGAGTCGCATGCAGCTTCATCCGCTCAGGGGTGCATCTGGATGCGACCAACTAAGAGAAACTCCCCAAGTCAAGGTGTAAGCGACCGTGCCGAAGACTGCGTCCCGCAGGGGGTGCTGCGTTGGCGAACGGTGCCTCCTGGTTACTCGATACTGAGCGAGATCCAGGAGTACGGTCCTCGATTCTCGCGATTCTGCTCATATCGCTCTTCCGCGGTACTCGCGGATCCTAAGTCAAGGTGTAAGCGACCGTGCCGAGGACTGCGTGGCGCAAAGGATGTTTGCGTCGTGAACGGTGCCTCCTGGGATATGGATGAGCAAGATCCAGGACTGTCCAGGAGTACATTGAGGGAAATCGCGCTTTATTACAAAGGTTTTAGGCCTCAAAAGACGCCGATACAAGGTATTGATAGTTGAACAACATGCAGACAGTAACAGTCGCAATACTTTCAAAAAAATTTTCCTTCCGGACAAAACACGTCCGAATAACACAATCGAGCTCGTCAACCGACTTTTCGTGAGGATCCTAAGTCAAGGTGTAAGCGGACCGTGCCGAGGACTGCGTGGCGCAAAGGATGTTTGCGTCGTGAACGGTGCCTCCTGGATAATGGGCGAAATTCAGGAGTATAATAGCCAAGTCCCGGTATTCGCGGCTCTGCCGGGTGATATCGCATTACCGCGGTATACTCCACCTCCACCCCCACCCTCTATTGCGACAACGACGAAGAAGAGGAAGCAGGTGCCTGCGACCCCGGTGCCAGCAAAAGCGAAGCCACCGAAGAAGAGGGATAAGGTCTCCAGGACGGCGGCGGCGCGGCGCCAGGCTTGCTCTCAACCTGGCGGCTGGCCCATCGCTCGATGACGACGGGAGGGCGGGGACTGGAACAATTTTTTCATTATTATGTTTTTCTCATTCAGAAACTACTTGCAATGCACCCTGCCCCCGTCACACTACTCGTCCGGGTATACATTTCCGATCGCAGCCGTAGGCTGATGGTAGAAAACAAAACGTATAAGGGTCTTTTACGTCTATCGTCATGAAAAAGCTATCGATCGTGTTGATATGTGACGATACGAATGTAGTTACGTATACGTTCATTCACGTAACTACATTTACGGTTTACGGTTTTTATTGTTCAATCGCAATGAGAGCAGGGGACAACGACGTGCAGCTGCCAATCTCGGCGGGTAGCGCGCGCAGATAATTATTGTCCGCGTTGAGACAGTGCAGCTTGCGTAGCAAGCCGACCGAAGACGGCAAATACTCGATAAAGTTCTTAGTGATTATAAGCTCCTCTAAGTTCGACATCTGGCCGATGTCGTTCGGCAGTGCGTTCAGTTGATTGTCGTCAATCTTGAGGGTGACGATCGTGCGCAGGTAGCACAGCGTGTGTCGGGCAGCTCGCACATTTCGTTCGAGGAGAGATTCATGATCCCGATGTCGCGCCAGGCCACGTATCTCTATCGGCAGCGCGTGTATCGCATTCATCGTGCAGTCGAAGTGGTTCAAGCGTTAGAGCTGCTCGACATTCGCCGGGACACGCCTGATGTCGTTGCCGTGAATCCACAACTCCGTGAGATTGATGAGATCTCCCACAACTTCAGGCAGCTCCGTGAAGTCATTGTTACCGATATCGAGCCTCTGCAAGTTCACTAAACGGCTCATGCTCTTAGGCAACGTTATCATGTTGTTCTCCCGCAGCTCGAGCGTCCTCAAGGCTGACAGTCGTCCAAAGTTAGCTGGCAGGCTTAACAATAGAGCCTACTCAGCCTACGTTTCGTTCTTTGCTATCAGCCTTAAGAAAGAGTCGAAGAGTAAATTTAACCGAAGGTTACAGTTAACTGACGTTGATGAAATTGGCCCTGAAAAATCGTGCGTAATCGTATTTGCATAAAATAATTCAGGTAGCAGAGTGACGTCAAATGACGTTTCTAACTGTCATAAACTTCCGTCATAAACTGCACAGTTCGCAGTTGATTGCCGACATTCTCTGGCCTTGGTTATTGCATATTCCTTAAAGTAAGTCTTTTTCTGTTTGATTATTTGGGAGGTGTACCATCACTACGATCAGTGTAGCAAAAAGATTTGCAATCTTTAAGTCTCTAGCTACAACGTTGTTATTTTTTGAAATATTATTAGACATTCTTTCTTTGGTTCGGTCTTTCAGTTTCTCTTTTTTACACTGTAGCTCATGTAGTTTAATTGTCAGTTACATGAGCTACAGTGCAAGAAGGAGGAGCTGGAAGTTAGCTCGAACAGCTGCCTGGACCATCACCTGGACACCCATCGTCGTCTACATCACCACTTAGATCGACGTGGTTTTGGCTCACGATCCCTTGGTCCACCGCCTAGTCGACGCCTAGCAAGCAGCAGCACAGCACACACAAGCGAGCAGCCGTGTACGTGTGCACGCACAAGCTGCTTACAGCATACGCGCTACGCTTGTGTGCGTAGTGCGTATGCTGTAAGCAGCTTGAATCTAGCATCTCGACCGTCTCGACTGCCGCTTGGATCACCATTTGGTTCACTGCTTAATACTTGGTCCAGTATCAGGCCTATTACTTGGTCCACTACCTAGTCTGCTACGTGTACTACTGCTTGATTCGCTGACTGGCTCAACGTCTAAATCACCTTCTGAACCACCTGTTTGATCCACCTGGATCTCCGTTTGAATCTCTGCGACTTGATCTGCTATCCAAATTGCAGCCTAATTTGCAATCTGGACTACCGTCTAGCTTGTTGGCACAGGCTATACATTGCGCAATGTATATCGTAGTATATAGGAATAGCTTAATTAAAGTTAGTACTCTTTTGAAAATAGCTTATTCTTAACGAGATGTATGGCTCCGCGCGAGAGCGGTCGATTTGTATTAGATAGGTTTGATCCTCATCCGTGTATGTCTAGGTTTAGAAATTAATGATTGAATTGAAAATTGTAAGAGTAAAGTAGTCTGAAGTGAATTGTAACCCATTTCGGGAATACTTAAACTGATACATAGTTAATTTTTGACAATATTAAAAAAATAGCTCAATAATATTTTGTATTGTCACAATTAATTAAAAAATTATTAATCACAAAATTAGTTTTACACTTTAATACTCTTTTTTGAAAATATCCATTCCTCATTCCTCACTTTAAATAAAATAAATTAGTAATTGCACATACTCGAAGTTATCTTTAAGAAAAATATGAAATTTACAATGAAACGTATAACTATATTTTTTGGTAACATTTTTTATGTAGAATATTCCTCGAAATTAATTTACATAAAAAAATAATTTCTATTTAAAATAAAGATGCAATTGTTATATTAATAAGACTTCATAGAAAGATAATACTTATTGAAACATTTCTGTGCTACTTTTTCTTATTTTTAATTTGTTCTTGAGAAGTGGCTGCAATGGCCGATTGCTTTGGATCATTTTCTGTCTTATAATTGCCTAAAACAGTGCATGGATTTAGTTGTAATTTTCAGACGAATTCTCTCTTAATCACTCGCATTTTTCATTAACTTATTGGATAAACACAAACTAAAGCCTTGTGTCCACGATGTTAGAAATTTCTCCGAGATGTCGAACGGAGAAAGAATTGATCAATCGCATTGGTCAATTGGCCAAATTGTTTAAATGTGATTGGTTAATTCTTTTTCCGTCCGAGATCACGAAGCGATTTCTAATATCGTGGACACAAGGCTTAAGACATAGTAAAGTAATTTTAATCACAATATAGTTTCATAATTATAATTTTAAATAATATATAATTATACGTAACGACTTTTTTCACGCAATAAATCATCTCATTCTAACGTGTATTATAAACATGAATCATATCTAAAAAAAAGTCATAACTTAATATATTTGTAATTGGTAAGCCAAGAGCTTTAAATAAAGTGTTATAAGAATTTCTGAGACTACTGTGTTTTAAATATCTTATGTTCACAATTCAATATTTAAGACATTATCAATGATTATCATAAAATAAAAATTTATTATACACATAAAACGTACAAAAATGTCTTAATTTTAGATTAAATAACTTTTTAATTCTTAATGGCTATACACATTAATACGTTTATATCTAATAACTTCACTTGGCACTTGAAATATATTTACTGGAACAGGCAAAACTGCTCTTTGTCATAAAGATATTTTAAACGGAAAATTTTGTATTCTAACTGTCCTCTTATCGTTTTATACATGTTAAAAAGCTGATTAATTTTAATTTTTGTTACTTGTATATCTCTAACATTAACGGTTAACAATTTGCGATATTAATATAAAGTGTTAAATAACTCTATTACAAGAGAAAAAGAAATGTTATTTGTTTACGTCAAACTTTAAAATGTTGAATGGCTAGATGTGCAAATGGCAATCAAATACTTTGAACACTTTGCTAAAATTATAAATATTTTTTTATAAATTACCAGCGTAGTCACTAGTATATTAGTCTTTTCTTATGTTTGAGGAATTCAATGAGCAAACTCACATCAAAGAGCACTGTCATCTAACGAATTATTTATATCGTTTCTATCGTCTTCATCTTCAATATCGCTTCTATCGTCTTCAATTTGCTCCTGCAATAAAACATAATATGTAAATTCTCTCATTATTAATAATGTGTAAAGTACTAATGATTTCAATATAATATTAATACAATATTGTAGGCAATATTACCTGTAGTACTTCAACAAGTGCTCTCATCTCATCCAACATTTCCTTGTAAACATGATTTTCCTCTACTAACTTTTCAATCTGTTGTACGAGCTTTTTATTTTCTTCTAAGGCATCCACAAGTGCCGTTTGTCTTTTTTCAGCCATTATTTGCCAATAGTTCTCACTAGGATTGTCTAAATCAGATAAAATACTTTGATAAAAGTTTATCCTTTTGACAAAATCCAGATTTAAAATAAATATCAAAAGAATATGAAAAGCAAAGAAAAAAAATGCTATTTTAGAGTATACCTGATGTTAAATCTTCTACTTCAATTTGTATCTTCTCTTGTGTAGTCTGGACAGCCTTATTCTTCTTAGTTACTTTTGTGCATTTTGAAGTATCTTTTTCCCCTGTATTTGTTACATCCCTAAGAAACACACCGTACTTACAATCTATACTTCTAACCCTTTTCATAATGCGTTGTCATAATAAATGCTTGTTTAAAGATAACTTACTGTTTCGTTTTTGCCTCTTTCGATTTGCAAGATCTGAGAGTCCTGTCAGCACCAACCAAAGTGTCTTTATCGGTGGCTGCTGGCTGCAGTGTGTGCAAAGGTTTCCTGTCCTTGATCTGTCGACAAGGAAAAAAAAACAAGAATTATCACCCCTCTATTTCATTCTTTCTCCTTTTGTATTCTGATTATGTAAACGGTCCTCTTTATTTGAAAAATAATATATATTTTATGTTTAAAATATGCTTAGTTCCTCTTTTCGTTTTTGCCAGTATATTCACTATTAACTTATATTCATTGGCTTTAGATTCAGTTAACGCATCACCAAAATTTCAAGCACATTTTAGGCTCTGTATGACGACGATAATTATACTAACTTTAGGAGCGACCGTGTTGACCAGTTCGTGGTGCATCGTGCTGCTTTCGAAGGAAATTCAGAGATGTATAAAATAACGTTCAACAGGACCGACCAAATCGTGGCAAACCCCGCAAACCAGGCAAACACGTTGTCTTATTCATGCACAATTCTAAAAACGATCAACCGTTGATCACCGTTGATCTCGTCTCCACCAGTCCACCATGTGATCTCCACGTCTCCGCATGTATTGATATGCGTGACCAGCTGTATGGATGTATATGTATGTATGTATACACAGCACGAAAATCGCGGAGCAAATCAAAATCCACTTCAATCAGCTTGAACGCGGAAAAACTCTTGCGCATGCGCAGCAACGGAAATCTTAAGGCGGACTTGGAACGTGACACGCCAGCGCCAACGTCAGCGTCGAGAGATGCCCGCAATTATCGTCATTTCGTCGCGCATTGCGAACCAACCCGTCGATGCGCCTACCGCCTTCGGCGCGCAATCTGTCGATTTGAAAATTGAAAATCGTAGTGCGAAGTGGAGGAGTACGTTAGACGGCATAGGTTTGACGAGTCTCTCCATGAAAAATGAGATAACTTACGAAAGAGGAGAAGGATAATATTCAAGGAAAGCGCGTTTGAAGGAAATTGATCCAATAAATTGTAAAAGTTGAGAGATTCTTTGATCGAAAAAGAATTTAATCGTTACGTTCGACAAGTATATCCATATGACTGAAGACTAGGATAATCGGCCATATTAAACACAGATCAAGGTAATTTCCATCGTTATTTTCTGTTATTTATCTGTTATCCGGAACAATAAAGCACAATAAGTCGGCCTCGATACACCCAGGACGTGCCTGGATGTATTGAGGATAACCTTGACGTCTGTGCTATCTGACAAGACAATCCGGGTCAAGCATCGTTGTGTCGTATGGTTCCGGGGTGGGACCGAAGGCACTAAGTTTCGCTCAGCCGAGAGAACAAATTCCAAAAAAAAAAAAAAAAAGCTATCTGACAAGCAACACTAGGGAAGTGTCATACGGCGATTTTCCTGAAACTTGGCATACAAGTAGTAAATGGAAAACTATATTGGACACGTATATTGTTATATCGGCCCGAGAGCCGTTTGAATGGTAGAAATCACCCTATCGATTTTGGGGGTAGGTTCGACTATTTTACGAATTATTTTTACGATTGTTGCGAAATCAGGTAACTAAGGGTTTTTGGGGTCGCTGATAATGAATCTGAAGTCCGTTTTTACGAATTCAAAATAATTCGTAAAATAGTCGAACCTACCCCCAAAATCCGATAGGATGATTTCTACCCTTCAAACGGCTTTCGGGCCGATATAACAATATACGTGTCCAATAGTTTTCCATGTACTACTTGTATGCCAAGTTTCAGGAAAATCGCCGTATGACACTTCCCTAGTGTTACTGGTGAGTATGATTTTCATTTTTATTCTTTCAACATGATCTTTCATTTGCTATTTACGAATTTGCTTTTATTAATGAGACTTATTCTTCATCAGATGTTCTATCCAGTTGAACTGCTTTCCCGTCGACGAAGGGGCAAATTAGCTCCTTGTTGGCTCGCTGCAACGGTCAGCGAGAAAATATTTAAAAGACACTATAATCCTGGTGCTATAAAGAAGATAAACACTGTAGAAACTTGGTAAATTATTTTGTTTATGTACTTTTAATATTGAATATTTATGACATTTTTTTTTTCAATTTTGACACTTTTGTTTGATTTTATATTACATCGCCAGCGAGCAAATTTTGGAAATAATGCAGTCGCGCAACAGATCAAATAGATTTAGCTTATATCTGTCATCACAATTAATGTACGGCATAACAAGAATTCATCGTTTACAAGTTTTAAATTATCAGAGTAAGTTCAATTCTATATATATTTATTAATGATATCATCTATGCCAATTTATATAATCTCATTATTTTTCAGAGGAAGTTTTTGAAATGCAACAAAAATTTGACTCTGGCGGCAGCCGTGGCGACAGAGTGTTGGAGAATAAAGAGGATGAGTATGACGCAGTTCAGGATCTTGAATTGCGTGCAATAGATGTGCCTATTTCCACTCAAAACTTTCCTAACGCTCAATTAGAAATAGACTTACACTTACTTCCGGACGAAGAGTTTGATGAAAGACTACGGACAATTGTGAGTGAAGATCTCGTACGGTTTACTGCAAGCTTATCAATAAATTTTGTATTTTTTAACTCTTATTCTCAAATGTTAAACCCTGTAATATGATATATAACATCCTTGAGTTTCCGAACTTTTGATTCTTTAATTGTAAACCTTATTTTTAAATATTGAAAATTTTTTCATTCACACACAGATGAAAGATGCAGCATGTTGTGATTTTGGTGCTTTAAATGACGAGGAGTTGGACTTTATGCTTAAACATGATTTCAATCTCGCACTGTAAGTTTCCGATTTTTATATTTTTTTTGTAGCGTGTTTTTAATTGTAATTTAACAAAAGTTCACAAAATGACAATAGTTTATGCAATCATTTGATTTTTTTTCGTTTTTATATCATTAGCTCAAAATAAATTCATGACTTTTTTAACAAAGAATAATATATTTTACTATTAATGGTTTTAGTGACCAGATGCATGAACTACAGACAGCAGAGGAAAGATCAGCATTCTCAAAGAAGACAGCTGATGATGTAACAATAGAAGGTAAGTGGATCAATGGGGTATTTTTTAAATATAATACATAGACTATTATATTATGTTTAAATTAAATTAATTAATAAAATCATTTAATGAATAGAGATCCAAGAAAAACAGTTATCTCAGGAAACCCGTGGTCCAGTACTTGTGGATATATCGGAAAGAAAGAAATCCAAAGAGGGACTGTTATTAACTCCACAAAAACGACAGCCACATCAAATGCAGGTGGAAACGCCTACGAAGAGAAGACGTGTAAGTTTGTCTATAACTGATAATGATTATCGTTTGGACATAATGTGAATATTTTAACTTCATAAAGTAGAAGACAAATGAGAATACATAGGCCGATATTCATAGTTTTTCATAGGGCAAAGAATTGTACATAAAAAATCACTTAATTATTCGGACAAGCAAGATCTGACCAGTCCTGGCCGATTACGGCGTTTTTCCCTTTGTTCATAATTTGTTTTTATATTTGAGACAGTCTTAAGTACAATTTTAAAGTCAATCTGAGAACCCTATTAGCATCTTAAGACATTACTTAAGATTGTTTTGATATAAGAACGGACTATGAATACGAGCCATAATGACCAAAAAGTTTTGAAAAAATTAAAATTTATTTTCTTCTTTTTTTTCTTTAGAAAAATTATTTTTTGCTTTTTATTTATATTTAATTTATATTTTATTTTTACTTCTAATTCTTTCTATATATTACTTCTCAGTTATACTTTGACACTGCATCGGCGACTGATGTACCCCCTGTAGAAGATGTGGCAGTACCTCCTGCACCTGTAGAAGATGTGGCAGTACCTCCTGTACCTGTAGAAGATGTGGCAGTACCTCCTGCACCTGTAGAAGATGTGGTAGTACCGACTGAATTGCCTAGAGAAGAAACGAGAATGTTAGTTCTTCCACAGCAAGAGGAAACTAACATGGAATTGGAATCATTAGATTCAAGCTACTTTGTGATCCGCAGTCGTTCGAAGAAAAGCAAAATTATTGATAAAAAAACAGAGTTAAGTGACAGTCAGCTTAAGAAATGGCGTCAGAATGTAAAAATTCATTGCGAGGTGGGTTCCTACATTATATAAGCTTACAAAAGATGTATATAAACTTACAAAGAAGTTCAAAAAGCGAGATTAATTTCAAACAAGTCTTAAAGGTTCTGACTAAATTTTTTGATTATCTTCAGAAATTGGATAAACCATTAACAAAAAAATTATCGCTGACACCGGCGATAAATCTTTTCAACCAACCTTCGGACTCACCTAGGCGATGGAACAAAAGTTTACGCAGTCGCTTTGCTTCTCGCATCACTGGGCCATTCAAGAGTGTAAATGAAGATGTTGCACTTGCTGAATTTACGCAATGTAGGTATATATTTAGACATTTATTAAATATTCACATTGATGCATATATAACTGTGAATAAATTTATATTTATAGTTTTTGAACAAATGCGTGTAGAAGAGACAGTTAGCAAGCTAGATCTTCCTACAGAAGAAGTGAGTACATTCCAAAAGACGGAAATGGCAATTGCTGCCGAACCCGGAGACAGTGTTGCAAACGTCTTAACAATGACAAATATAATTCCCGAAACTATGGACGTATCAATGGTACCATTACCGAAAGAGGTACCGGAAGCGATTGTCTTAGAAGAAGGCACTAGGTAAGTCTATTTTATCATGAAGAACTTATGATATTTACATTCAAGAAGTTATTTAACTAAAAATTTAATTATTAAGGATTATTCAGTTTTATACTCAGTCTTTCAACTGTTGCGATATTTCCTCAATTTCTCAATATCATTAAATGATATTATTTCAGCATCGTTGAACAGGGGCCGGATCAGGAAAGAATGAATATAAGTAATGATGAATGCTTTGAAGATATAGACATTTTATTAGAAAGACAGCGACAGTCTCCGAAAACGGCGAAACAAATTCCAGTACCTTCTACCAGGTATTTTGAATTTTTCTTTTATTGTTAAGTAAAGAGTTGGACATATAACAATATTCTAAGTGTATATTTAAGTTTCTATAAACGAATGTTGACAAAACATAGGATTCATTAATCGAAAGCTTGAGGAAAAAACAACACTTTTATTGCTTTGTTGTAACCTAACAATTTTGCATAGTTCTTTCCTACGAAACTTAGCATGTTTTGTTATATCAAGTCTACCATTTATCAAAGAATTATTTGATGTATGATAAAAATATTGTTTTTACAGCAGTTCAAGCGGATACTCGCAACCTGCACTGACAAGCCAAGAGATTTTGGTTCTATTAGAAGTTTTCTGGCGTGACAAGGATACTGTCAAATTCAGTGAACTTATTCCACCGGAAACGTACACGAGAGAGGATGCTGCTACTGCTTTTGAAATACTTCTTGGTAAGTGTTACTACATTCGCAAAAAAGGGTAAATTTTACCTTACTTTTTCTTTAATTCTAATCAACCTAATATTATACGACTCGTTTTTCACCTGTGTGAAGTTAGCTTCCTAACATTTAAAAAATAATAATTTGCACATGTATGCACAATTCAAATTTTTGTTTGGACACTAATTCAAACGGTATTAACAAAAGAATTTGAATGAGAGCAATCTTACATTAGCTTAGCCCTTCACTTACGAGAAAATTGAATTGAAATAGTCTTTAACTTTTGTTTGCACATTCACATACAATTCGATTCAATTGAAATGTATGTGAATATGCAAACGATGAGTCATCGAATGCTATAGAAAGTTTTTTTTTTTTAATGTTAAGGGATCAACTTCACATAGGTTCGTTACCCATTTTTCTAATGTATTATTCTCGTTCACAGACTTATATGCACAAGATAAACTCATTTTGCAACAGACTGACTATTCTAAACCTTTATGGATTTCCAAATACCGGGATTAATTTATTATACATATATATATATGTTAAGAATGTTCGTTTATAATTTACATTAATGCTATAACTTTGCATCGAAAAACAATTATTGTTATTATATTATTATGTTATTTATGTTATGTCGGATCATCGTTCTTTCACCAATATTAACATTGAAATTAACGAAAAGTAAAATGGGATAAGTTAAGGGAAAACATAGAATAAATTAAACTAACGAGTTTTAATATTATTTATTATTATAAAAAAGGAATTTATACCTTTTTTTTTTTTTTCTAATAAGAGAATTATCTTGACATGAATGCAAGCTTATGATAATTATTGATTGTTTAGTTGACATGTATTTCGTTCAGAATGCCGCTGTATTGTTTTTATACCGCATCTCTTTTTGAATCCGTTCTCGATAGCACGATCTCGGCATTGGCTGACGAGCGCATTATCGTTATTTGTTTCTGTACGGTATTACGTTATCATTTATGATCGCGAGAGCTCGACGTGATTCCACGATTCGCGGGATCCTCCATGAATGACGGTGAGAAACGATGATAAGACAAAATCGAATGGCTCGCGAATTAGTGCAATGTAAGCGATTATTGAATTTTTGGAAATGAAACTTTATATGAGCTCAATATCCGCGCCGTCCTCTTTTCCATAGTTTATACGAGGTTTGTCTATATATAATGGGTTAATGGAAACGACGCCTTCCGACTTTCGCATCGCGCTTAATCGGCTGACAATAAATCACAAGCAATGCGCACTTATTTTTAAATTTTTCGCCATTATCGTATATGTTTTGTATTAGAAGATCATACGATCGGTCGACTTTTGCATTATTATATAATCGTAAATCAATAGGATTGCGCGCCATACTGTAATTATTGCTGCAATTAAATACAGACGATAAATTTGTAGGAATGCGAAACAAACGTTGCGTTAACGACAGATTTAGTTGCGTCGAAATATCCCGGGCGGTTTAATGCTCCAGCGTTACGACAATGTTGCAATGCAATAACTAATTGGAGAATTGGGGGTAACTCGACGGGAGATATCATAAAACATATGTTAGATTATTATAAATTATTTATATATTTTTTATAAGTACTGCAAATTATTATTATTTAATAGTTTTAATGCGTTATGTTAAAACTCTAACGTTTTAATGAAATGGATAAATGGATAAATAAGTTTTTACTTACAAATATATATATATTTATATACTATTTGTTCTTTTATCCGTTTTACAAATCGTTATTTTTGCTAGAAAAATTACGATATTTTAATAAGAATCAAAAAGATGAGATGTTTCGTTCTATATATGTTCAAAAGATTATAAATATTTGTATAGGTATTTATTTACGTAAGAATTGAAGTCAGCAATCCTACTGCAAATTATTATTATTTAATATACTTTATGTTAAAACTTTTAACGTTAATGAAAATGGATAAAGATTTAATACACGATATGTGTTATATGATATATCATAAGTTCATACTTGCAAATATGTATTTGCATATTATGTGTTCTTTTCGCTTACTTTGAGCGCTGTGAAAATTAAAATAATATAATAAATTACATTTTGCATTTAATTATATTTTGTAGCTTTATTTATTTATCTTGTAACTTTTATGTAACCTGGTTCTGTTCGCAGTAATGATTTAATTTAATAATCAGATACCAAGAAATTAACCGGTTGAAGAGACATTGTGAAAATCGCATTGAAGGATTATTTTATGAATCAGAGAGCATATAGAGTTTGAGTTGATAGGTATAAGAATGTTAAAAATATTGGCAATTTGAGGGATTAATGCCCGATTTCACCAACGTCGTTTAACTTGAACCTTAAAGTTCAATTCACTCTTTGTCTTCAAGAGTGAATTAAACTAAGGTTTAAATTAAACGACTTTGGTGAAATCGGGCATAAATAATTGAATGGAATAAAATTGATTTTTAACAGTTGAATATCTGTCTTGATAGCTCTTAAGAATATGGATATAGTTTAGAGTGTATTATTTACGAATCAGTATTTACGCTGTTATCCCTTATAGAAATTTAATACTGTAAGTGATTTTTTGGCTAGTGATTAATTATTTAAAAGCACTATTAAAAATACTATTAACAGTGCTTTTAATAGTGCTTTTAAGTGATTAATTACTAGCCAAAAAATCACTTACAGTATTAAATTTCTATAAGGGATATATATAAAGAAAATACTCGCGACCGAGTATATACAATAGATATAAAGGAAATAGCTGCCTGATATATTCTCCTTTTTCTATCTAACTAGACTCCGGAAAATTACGTGGAGTATGATGACGTACATGACTCCGTGTAATTGCGGATGATGAGAAACTGAAAGATCTTGGATTCGTTTCTGGCATATTCATCCTGCATATTCCTCGTTTTAAGAAGAAGTTTTCGCCGATGAAAGGGAAGAGAGTGTTTAAAGACTAAAAAGAAGTATCATTATATACATATGCATATATATATATATATTGTTATATTTAATCTCCATTCAAAACAGAGGAAGAGATCCCGCCACTGTTTGTAGAGAAGATGCCGGGACCAATCAGCCATTACTCCGGTCGCGCTCTCTTTTGCACCTTTATTTCAGACATGACAGTTTGGATACGTGCAGTTCAGGGTGGTTCAGGTTAGGTTCAGGTTCAGGGTGAAGGGGGTGAAGCGTTTTTGCACAACGCGCCGTGTGGCATTGTTTGTTTATTTGCTCCGAATAACTGAATTTAATAACTGAAATAAACAAATCGCGTTAAAATGGCGGAGGAAGTGCTGAGGGAGTTGGAAGCCGCGGCGCAAATCGTTCTGGTGAGTACCGTCCCGAATTCTCTTTCGTCACGCAAAATAGATTGTCACGAAGCTGCGCGAAACCCAAGCATGATCGGTATACGGCGAAAACAATTCGGATACCGCTCGCGGATTCCTGTGAGACTTACCGCGCGTTAGCGCGCGTAGAGCCAAAAAGTTTATCTGCCAGGAAACGTCGCGTTTTTTATCGAGTCCGCGAACTCTTTTGCATTCGTAGAATCCCGTTTTGGGGTTAAGATCCGCGTCACGACCTATTTAAGGTATTTCTTGAGATTCGGCGAAGTCCTGCGGACATTCGCGCGCGCGCACGCATGGATCTCGCGAAAAATTGTGATTTGAGGAATTCTTTAATGCGGGACAGGCGATTCCCACGAACGCACGTGCCGTACGAGGCAAAACAAAACAAAACTGTCTCGAGTGTATTGCAATACTCCGTGTGTTATGTAATTTCTTGTGTTTACTGCTTCAAGGAAGCGTGCTTCGTTCCACGATAGAGAAACTTGTCAACCGAAGCGACTCAAGCGACTGTGTGATTCCCAGAAGGCAAAATGTTGGCAAGTTTGCCAGCAGATTTCGAGTGGAATATTGCTGCAGATTATCAACTGCGTTCTCACATTAAATTCACGCTCTGTTATCGATATTGTCGGCAGAATGCCAGCAGAGCTTAACGTAGACATACTTCTTCTCCTTAAGATTGGCACTCAATTCCCCAACCAAGCTCGCTACAGCCACTGATAACCCTTTTTCGTATAGAACTTGAATACAAATGTTGGATGTTGCTACACTGATGAGTGGGTTTTACTCTGTGGTGGTATATTTTATACCCCAGCCTTACAAGTCTATGTAATACACTTACAGAGTAAAACTTTTTTACTGTTACTGAAGTGTATTTTACACTCCATGCAAATAATCTAGGGTTAATAGTCAGTTTGATTTCTGCTTATTTAAGCATCCTTAGGTCTCCATTGACGAAAAAAATCGCTGATTTTACATGAATACAGATATAGAAATATTAAACTTCAGATTTGCCAGACACAAAGAAAATATCCTGTTTATATGTTCTGAGTTGTTTCTACATGTTTGAAAACGTAGAACGTTGATAAGTGATTTTGTATTCGCGTTGCTTTCAGGCGCCACCTAATTTGATCTCATCGGAGCAGCGTCAATCTGCGGAAGCTGTGTTCCTAAATTTCCGTAAAACGAAGTCACCGTATCAACTGTGTCAACAAATTTTAGAATTGAGCTCTGTGGACTACATATTGTTTGAAACGGCCGGTTTGATAAAGACAGCTCTGATACAAGAGTGGACCACTCTGGAAAAATCTGACGTCTCTTCATTAAGACAATATTTGTTGCACTATGTTATAAGCAAACCTACGTTAGCGCCATATGTCAGGACGAGGATACTTCAAGTTTTTGCAATAATAGTTAAGAGAGGTAGCGTGGATGACTTTGGGATAGAGAGAAGTCGAATAATGAGTGAAATAGAAAATTTAATTAAGAGTGGGAACTTACCAAATGTAAGTATACATTGATATAGGTATATTGACTTTTCGTATGGCACGCAAAGGAGAAAAGAAAGAGGAAAGAAAGACTATTTCTTTATTTGCAGCAAATTTTGGGATGCAATATTTTATCTGCGATATTGCAAGAATACGCAACGACTGCTAAATCATCCGATATCGGTCTGACATGGGAAGTACATTTTAAGGCGAAGAAGCATTTTGAGCTAAGCGATATGAAAAGAATTTTCAAGTTTTGTATCGAGGTATTTGGTGAATTGATCAAGAAGGATTTTGACGAATCGACGTTGCCCCTCGTGAAGTCCTTGCTTTCCATGGTGGAGAGCATACTCGTTTGGCCATTTATTGAAGTAAATTATATCCTTTTTTATAATTGCATTTGGGATCAATGTATATTGATGCAAAAATATATATTAATTGAAAGATAAACTAAAGAGATAAAGAAAGAAATTGGACATTGCAGCTTGTATTCAATTCATATTTCACATTTAGTATTAAATGTATCAATAATGATGTATTAACTTGAATACTACATGTGGGAAATGATTATGAAGATAGATATGGATATAAATATATAACAGAGATTCATATTTAGTATTCACATTTGGTATTAAGCAGGGCATAATTGATATATTCCTTTGAATATTAAATGTGGATAATTA